TTTCTTTCTTTTTTCTTTCTTTCTTTCTTTAACCTCATTCTTTTCTTTTTTTTTTCTTTCTTTCTTCAACGTTTTCTCCCTTCTTGTTTTCTTCTTTCTTCTTTTTCTTTCTTTTCTTTTTCTTTCTTTCTTTCTTTTTCTTTCTCTTCTTTCTTTCTTCTATCATTTTTTTTGTTTGTCCGTTTGTTTCCTTTTTTTCTTCAACCTCATTTCTTTCTTTCTGGTTTTCATTTCTTCTAATATATTAATTTCTATTTTTCTTTTTCTTTCTTTCTTTATCCTAATTTCTTTCTTTCTTTCTTTCTTTCTTTTTTTCTTTCTTTATGCTGTCTCCTTTCTTTCTTTTTTCTTTTGTTTGTTTCTTTCTTTTTATCTCCTTTCTCTTTTCTTTCTTTCTTTCTTTCTTTCTTTCTTCAACCTCATTTCTTTCTTTCTTCTTTTCTTTTGTTTTTGAACTAATTTCCTTTTTCTTTCTTTCTTTCTTTCTTGCATTCTTTCTATATAGTTCTTTAATTCTTTCTTTCTTCAACCTCATTTCTTTTTTCTTTCTTTTCTTTTTTTTCTTCTACCTCACTTCTTTCTTTCTTCTACATTTTTTCTTTCTTTTACCTCAGTTTTCTTACTTTCTTCCCTTCACTTTTGATTCTTTGTCATTACTAAGACTAAATAAACCTTCCATAAACGATGAAGGGACAAATTAATCAGTGAGTGGGAGTGTGAGCGGAAGACAGAGGGAATCATATAAACAGAGAAAGAGAAAGAGAGCAACAGAGAGAAAGTGTGTCAGAGAGAGAGAGAGAGAGAGAGAGAGAGAGAGAGAGAGAGAGAGAGGGAGGGTCGGTTGGAGAGAGATAGAGGGAAAACACTACCTCAAACCCCCTCCAACAAAGAAAAGAAAAAAGAAAGAAAGAAATCCCACAATGACGTTATCACGTCCACCTGATTTTTCTTCCCCATAATTTCTTTCACTCAAATTTCTAAAAGTATCCCCTTCTTGCTTTTGTTTGAATTTTTGAACAGCTCTTGATCTGTCTTGTATTTCGCCGTCTAGCTAGATCAGTGGTTCTCAACCGGGGTCTACACGGACCCTAGGGGTCCATGTAATATTTCCGGGGGTCCACAGGCAAAACTCAATTGTTGTGTTAATTAAAAATAGTAATAATAATTATTATTATAATTATAGTAGAATATTTTATTTGTATTAAATTAGTTTTCATTTAAAAATAAAGCTTAATCGTATACTATTTCTTTGATAATTAAAACCTTAAAATTTATATTAGTGAAGAATAGAAAATTGTTCTTATGTCCAATAGCTATGAAGGGGTCCACCAAGATAAAAATAAGGGGAAAGGGGTCCATGGGTAAAAAAAGGTTGAGATCCACTGAGCTAGATCAATAATCACAGATAAATCAAAAGTTAAGCAATCTACAGGGTGTTCTGAAAGACTTGTTACCCAGACATAATATAATTCTCTATTTCAGATGATAGCTGACACGAAAATGATGGCGTTCATACAGACCTTCACGATGTGTTACAGCGTAAATGAAAGAGAATAAACTGAATCCAGTCCATGTGTTTTGTATTACTTTCTGTGGTTTTCATTAATTTTTGGTATGGGGTGACAGGACTTTCGGATCTACTATGGCCAAGAAATGGGGGATTTGTTTAATACTATAGGACAATACAAAACTGATCCCTCACTTTTTACAATCTTTTTATTTGATTACCATTCTCGATGTTTGACGGCGTCAATGAAAGTGAATAAACTGAATACAGTCCATGTGTTTTGTATTACTTTCTGTTGTTTTCATTAATTTTTGGTATGGAGTGAAAAGACTTTCGGATCTACTATGGCCAAGAAATGGGGGATTTGTTTAATACTAAAGAACAATGCAAAACTGATCCCTCACTTTTTACAATCTTTTTATTTGATTACCATTCTCGATGTTTGACGGCGTCAATGAAAGTGAATAAACTGAATACAGTCCATGTGTTTTGTATTACTTTCTGTTGTTTTTATTACTTTTTGGTATGGAGTGAAAAGACTTTCGGATCTACTATGGCCAAGAAATGGGGGATTTGTTTAATACTAAAGAACAATGCAAAACTGATGCCTCACTTTTTACCATCTTTTTATTTGATTACCTTTCTCGATGTTTGACGGGGTCAATGAAAGTGAATAAACTGAATCCAGTCCATGTGCTTTGTATTTTTCTATTGTTTTATTACTTTTTTGGTATGGGTTGACTTTCGGATCTACTATGGCCAAGAAAATGGGGATTTGTTTAATCTAAAGAACAATTTGCCTCACTTTTTACCATCTTTTTATTTGATTACCTTTCTCGATGTTTGACGGGGTCAATGAAAGTGAATAAACTGAATCCAGTCCATGTGTTTTGTATTACTTCTTGTTCTATTGTTCGCTTTACTTTTTCGTAGTGGTTGACAAAACTTTCGGATCACCCTGTACTACGAAGCCAGGTCAAAAATAAGTTAGCATAGAATTTCCCAGTTCGATCCTCTGTCAGTGTGCCCTTGATCCAGATTCTTTGGAAAAAATATCACCATCAATACCTTTTGAAAAAAAATTATTACCAGCAATGAAAATCTTGTCGGCATTAAATAACCCATTGAGGTGTTGATAGACCGTAAAACAAACCAAAAGTCATCAAGAAAATGTATATATTAGGTAACCAGGAGAACTTTGGAAGGAAACAAAAAGAAAGGAAGAAAACGAAAGTGAGTGAGTGAGTGAGAGAGATAGGAGGGGGGATGAGGGAAGGAAGGAAGAGATTAGAGAGGGAAATGAACGCACCGGGATATCGATTAGCTACCCGCCTTTGCCAATCATGGCATTACCGTTGCCTTGATGGGGTTTTTCGCGGCAGGTTGATGACAACCGACGAGGCAATCGACCCGCTTTTAAAATCCCTGAAAAGTCGACTCAAAAAAAAAAAAAAAAAAAAAACATGGGGTAATCTTCTCTTCTGGTTCTCTCTGTAGCAGCAGCCCAAAAAATGAAAAAAAAGGAAGAAAAAAAAAAGAGAGAGAGGGGTGAGAGAGAGAGGGGTGAGAGAGAGAGGGGTGAGAGAGAGAGGGGTGAGAGAGTGAGAGGGGGCGAGGAGAGGAGAGGGGGCGAGAGAGGGGGCGGGAGAGAGAGGGGGTGAGAGAGAGGGGCGAGAGAGAGAGAGAGAGAGGGGAACTTCCGCTTCCTGAGGAGTGACCGAGATATTTGAGGAAAATGTTTCTGATTGGCTGTTACGTGTGCCAATAAACACTGCGCACTCAACCAAAGAAAAAAAAAATGGAAAAGAACTATAACTTATTATTAAAAGCACACTTTATCTAAAATTAATTGGTCATTTTAGTATTTTAGTAGTACTACTTAAACAGTTCGCGTTTTATACCGTGTGCTTATAGTAGTATACTATATTACTTATAGTAGTATACTATACTACTTATGGTAGTGTAGGCCAAAAGAGATGGACATGAATTATTTAAACATTCCTAAATGACTCTACAAACAGAATGATCCGAAATGCGATTAACAGGTCGGGGACACTAATAACCAGCAGAATCGGGAATTTAAATATCTTGGAAGTGTCCGGACAAACGTCGATAAGTGCCACGCTGAGATCCGAACCCGTATTGGGATGGCCAAAGGCTCATTCTAAAAGCTAAGCAGAGTATTACGAGACAACATAATTTCTTTGGTAACAAAGGAAAGAGTACTAAACTTTCACGTGATATCTGTACTCCTTTACGCGCAGCGAATATTGGACGGTCTCCTCAACGAGGAAGTAGAGACTTGAGCCACCGGAGGTATGGTTCTACAGAAGGATGCTGAGGATATCATGAACCGGGCGAGTGAGCAACGATAAGGTTTGGAGAGGATGCAAACAAGGAGGAAGCTTATACTTAACACCAGGAAATTGAACTTTCTGGGACACGTAATGAGAAAGGAGGGCTTGGAGAATCTGATACTCACAGGTCGAATAGAGGGCAAGAGAGACATGGGAAAGCAACGCATGACATACCTAGCGGGTTTAAAGAAGTGAATGGCAGAACACGACCTGGGGGAAGTAGCAAAGAGACAAAACTTACTGAGAGCTACAAGGGATAGGAAAAAGTGGAGAGCCATGATCTCGTACGTCCTGAAGGGACACGGCACATTAAAAGAAAAGAAAGAAATAGAAAAAAATGGTTCTTATTTCCCACCCAAGGGTAATGTAGTGATGATGAGGGGGTGCTATTCTCATGATGAGGTGGGTATGCCGATGATAAGGAAGGCTGTGCTGCTAATAAAGGGTTTGTGCTGATAACATAGTTATTCATAGTTGGGATAAGAATAATTTTGACCCCAAAATTCACCATTCCCCTACCAAGTATCCCAAGGAATACGACTCAAGATAATCCTTTTTAAAAGAGAAACAATGTCACGGAATTGGAATGAAAACAGTTATGGCACCTACCCCAAATACATCATTAAAAATTCATGAGTAATTAGTATTACTATTAATATATCAATATATATTAATAATATATTAATATTAGTAATTAGTATTAGTAAATAGTAAAAACTGTAAATACCTCGATGTATGGACCAGTTATAGCAAATTTAGGAGATACGTAAACTGAACATAGAATAACGTGTGCTACAGCTAGTTTCTCCCAATACCACAAGTTGCTGCACAACCAAAATATGAATCTAAAAACTAGAACCATTTTCGTAAATAGCCTCGTCAGAAAGAGACTTTTCTTTAAAAAAAAATCAATTCACCCAAAGCAAGGCGATAATACCACGATGTTACAAGTAGTTACTGGTAGTAAAGGAAACTGAAAAAAATGACTTGAGAGAAAACCGGAAGCTCAATCCTAAACCGAAAATAAGGGATAAACTTCTACTTCTGCTCAAAAGACTGGGGATGACTGTGACCATAAGCAAACCTATATGGATGATATGTATCCCTAAACAACATACCAAGAAACACAATCCTAGCTTACAGCACCTGATATTTCCAAGCGGTTACCAAGCTAGGCACTGGCCAAACTCAACTTTGCTTAACTTCTGTGATCGTACGAGAACCGGTGTTTCAACGTGATATCGCCGTAAGCACTTTACACCACTCGCAAATCCAAGCTAACAGCACCTGTTAATCACAAGCGGTCACCCCTCTAAGTACTAACCAGGCTCGACGTTGCTTAACTTCGGTGATCGTACGGGACCTGTGTTTCAACGTGATTATAGCCGTAAGCACTTTATGCCACCTGTAAACACTTTTTACCACTCGCAAATCCCACCTGGTAATCACAAGCGGTCAACCCAGTAGGCTCGACGTGGCTTAACTTCTGTGACGGGGAAACCGGTTTCAACGTGATTATAGCCGCTTTATACCAACTTCTTTTTACCACCAACCAAGCTTTACAGCACCTGGTATTCACAAGTGGTCACCCTTCTAGATACTGACCAGGCTCGGCGTTGCTTAACTTCTGTGATCTGTGTTTCAAGCTTACAGCACCTGGTATTCATAAGCCGGTAATATTTCAAATGGGCAAACGATTTAAATTTGAAGTTTTATCCTTTTGCCGTCAGCGAAATGACCGAACTAATTAGTAATTAATTGAAACGCTCTGAATTCAATGACGTCATTTTGAGGACACTTGTTGTTACTTGATCACCGCTGAAATTTAGTCGAGATCCCTAGCGGGAAAACATATCGTAACTTACCTTGTTTTCAGTGAATTTACCTTGATATATTAAGCGAAAATATCCAGGTAAAGAAAGTTCGAGTTTATAGCCCAGGATAAATATCTTTGCCACTTACCTAAAAAATAAAATAAAAAAACAATATTTTATTGACGATATTTAATGATGATTACAAGAAAAGCACAAAAAAAAAAAAAAAAAATATATATATATATATTTCAAGACATTTTTTATGTTTACACGTTCTTTTTATAGATACAAATATTTAAGGAAACGCTCTGTTTATAAGAAACAGTATTAACGACATTTACCGGCCTGAATGCTGGAAAATTTTTCATAGAAAATATGCGTCCTCCGACAAGAATCGAACCAGTATCCTATACGGAACCGTCATATAGCCTGATGTGCTTTTACCGATTTCGCCACAGAGGAGCGTTTCGGTTAGTAAGGTCGATTTTACTGTTTTTAAAATACAATTCTCCATGACTTTCTCTCGTACATTCATATTCATATATACATAAAAAATGTCTTAAAATAATTGTCGGACTTTCCATGTCATAATGTATGACGTCATTTGTTTACATTTGGATACGCATCGAGCAGATATGAATGTACGAGAGAAAATCATTGAGAATTGTAGTTTAAAAACAGTAAAATAGACCTTGCTAATCGAAATTCTTCTCTGTGGCTCAATCGGTAAAGCACGTCAAGCTATATGACGGTTCCGTATAGGATACTGGTTCGAATCTTGCCGGAGGATGTATATTTTTTTTCTATGACAATTTCTCGGACATTCAGGCCGGTAAATGTTGTTTAATACTGTTTATTATAAAACGGAGCATTTACTTAAATATTTTTATCTATAAAAAGAACGTATAAACATAAAAAATGTCTTGAAATAATTGTCGGACTTTGTCCAGTTCATAATATATATAAAGAAAGAAAACTTTCCTTTTACACAAATACTAAAGTAATTACTACCTAAATATACTGGTCTACTCAAAGTCAAAGAAATAATGGAAAATCTTAGAAGGAAATATTTTATGTTGATTTATATCGAAATGACCAACAAAACATTATTTTAGTAAAATGACCAACAATACATTGTCATAGTAAACTGACCAATAACACATTTTTTTTATATCAAAATGACCAACAATGCATTTTTGCAGTAAAAAAGACATCGCATGCATTGACAAAAAAAGGGCAAAAGAAATTTGCTATTATTAATCTTATATTCTTGAAAGAAGAAAGAAAAAATATCCCCCCTCGTTTGATTTTGTAAGATGACACAGCTGTTGATACGCCGCTAAACAAACAAACAAAAAACAGCAAAACCAATCTTCTCCTCCAATCTATGGGTTGAATAGCCGTATAGACTGGGTTCTATAGCCGTGGTTGGCAAATAGTCTAACTCAGAAATAAACGCCAACATGCTGCAGGAAATGTTTTCTGCCTCGTCAGTCATGACCCGAAAGAGATATAGTCACCCAAGCGTGTATCACTTGGCTGCCTGTTAAATCTACCCCTGTCTTTTTGAGTGGTTTTACTATAGTAATACATTGAAAAAGGTTTTTACTGTAAAAATGTATTGGAAAAGGTTTTACTGTAGTACTGCATTGGTAATGATTTTGCTGTAGGAATACCACGTAAATGATTTTGCTATAGGAATACCACGTAAACGATTTTGATATAGGAATAACACGTAAATGATTTTACTATAGAAATACCACGTAAATGATTTTGCTATAGGAATACCACGTAAATGATTTTACTATAGAAATACCACGTA